GAATACGTTTCACCTCCTCCATACTCTCTCCCTCCAATCTGATATTCAATCTTTCATCACCTAATCTTTTTGTTATCCTCATAACCTACTCTTTCCTGTATTCACCTTTAATTTTCTTCTTTTGCACACCCTACCAAATTCATCCACCAATCTCTGCAACTTCTCTTCAGAATCTCCCAAGAGCACAGTGTCATCAGCAAAGAGCAGCTGTGACAACTCCCACTTTTGTGTGTGATTCTTTATCTTTTAACTCCACGCCTCTTGCCAAGACCCTCGCATTTACTTCTCTTACAACCCCATCTATAAATATATTAAACAACCACGGTGACATCACACATCCTTGTCTAAGGCCTACTTTTACTGGGAAAAAATTTCCCTCTTTCCTACATACTCTAACTTGAGCCTCACTATCCTCGTAAAAACTCTTCACTGCTTTCAGTAAACCTACCTCCTACACCATACACTTGCAACATCTGCCACATTGCCCCCTATCCACCCTGTCAACGCCTTTTCCAAATCCATAAATGCCACAAAGACCTCTTTAGCCTTATCTAAATACTGTTCCACTTATATTGTTTCACTGTAAAACACCTGGTCACACACCCCCCTACCTTTCCTAAAGCCTCCTGTTCATCTGCTATACCTATTCTCCGTCTTACTCTAATTCTTTCAATTATAACTCTACCATACACTTTACCAGGTACACTCAACAGACTTATCCCCCTATAATTTTTGCACTCTCTTTTATCCCCTTTGCCTTTATACAAAGGAACTATGCATGCTCTCTGCCAATCCCTAGGTACCTTACCCTCTTCCATACATTTATTAAATAATTGCACCAACCACTCCAAAACTATATCCCCACCTGCTTTTAACATTTCTATCTTTATCCCATCAATCCCGGCTGCCTTAACCCCCTTTCATTTACCTACTGCCTCACGAACTTCCCCCACACTCACAACTGGCTCTTCCTCACTCCTACAGATGTTATTCCTCCTTGCCCTATACACGAAATCACAGCTTCCCTATCTTCATCAACATTTAACAATTCCTCAAAATATTCCTTCCATCTTCCCAATACCTCTAACTCTCCATTTAATAACTCTCCTCTCCTATTTTTAACTGACAAATCCATTTGTTCTCTAGGCTTTCTTAACTTGTTAATCTCACTCCAAAACTTTTTCTTATTTTCAACAAAATTTGTTGATAACATCTCACCCACTCTCTCATTTGCTCTCTTTTTACATTGCTTCACCACTCTCTTAACTTCTCTCTTTTTCTCCATATACTCTTCCCTCCTTGCATCACTTCTACTTTGTAAAAACTTCTCATATGCTAACTTTTTCTCCTTACTACTCTCTTTACATCATCATTCCACCAATCGCTCCTCTTCCCTCCTGCACCCACTTTCCTGTAACCACAAACTTCTGCTGAACACTCTAAACACTACATTTTTAAACCTACCCCATACCTCTTCGACCCCATTGCCTATGCTCTCATTAGCCCATCTATCCTCCAATAGCTGTTTATTATCTTACCCTAACTGCCTCCTCTTTTAGTTTATAAACCTTCACCTCTCTCTTCCCTGATGCTTCTATTCTCCTTGTATCCCATCTACCTTTTACTCTCAGTGTAGCTACAACTAGACAGTGATCTGATATATCTGTGGCCCCTCTATAAACATGTACATCCTGAAGTCTACTCAACAGTCTTTTATCTACCAATACATAATCCAACAAACTACTGTCATTTCGCCCTACATCATATCGTGTATACTTATTTATCCTCTTTTTCTTAAAATATGTATTACCTATAACTAAACCCTTTCTATACAAAGTTCAATCAAAGGGCTCCCATTATCATTTACACCTGGCACCCCAAACTTACCTACCACACCCTCTCTAAAGTTTCTCCTACTTTAGCATCAAGTCCCTACCACAATTACTCTCTCACTTGGTTCAAAGGCTCCTATACATTCACTTAACATCTCCCAAAATCTCTCTCTCTCCTCTGCATTCCCTCTCTTCTCCAGGTGCATACACGTTATTATGACCCACTTCTCACATCCAACCTTTACTTTAATCCACATAATTCTTGAATTACACATTCATATTCTCTTTTCTCCTTCCATAACTGATCATTTAACATTACTGCTACCCCTTCCTTTGCTCTAACTCTCTCAGATACTCCAGATTTAATCCCATTTATTTCCCCCCACTGAAACTCTCCTACCCCCTTCAGCTTTGTTCGCTTAGGGCCAGGACATCCAACTTCTTTTCATTCATAACATCAGCAATCATCTGTTTCTTGTCATCCGCACTACATCCACGCACATTTAAGCAACCCAGTTTTATAAAGTTTTCTTCTTCTCTTTTTTAGTAATTGTATACAGGAGAAGGGGTTACTAGCCCATTGCTCCCGGCATTTTAGTCGCCTCATACGACACGCATGGCTTACGGAGGAAAGATTCTTTTCCACTTCCCCATGGACAATAGAAGAAATAAAAAAGAACAAGAGCTATTTAGAAAAAGGAGAAAAGCCTAGATGTATGTATATATATATATGCATGTGCGTGTCTGTGAAGTGTGACCAAAGTGTAAGTAGGAGTAGCAAGATATCCCTGTTATCTTAGCGTGTTTATGAGACAGAAAAAAGAAACCAGCAATCCTACCATCATGCAAAACAATTACAGGTTTTTTTGTTTCACAGTCATCTGGCAGGACGGTAGTACTTCCCTGGGTGGTTGCTGTCTACCAACCTACTACCTATTATTATTATTATTATTATTATTATTATTATTATTATTATTATTAATTATTATTATTATATTATTATTATTATTATTAATAATAATCTTTATTTCTACAAGTACATGTACAAGGTTTACAGACCATAGCTGACATTGGTGACATATTGTACTACTATATAGAAAGCCCCTTGTTATGCACAGCATTCCACAAATTAGGTCAAATTTGTCCCATGATGCAACCCACACCAGTCTACTAACACCCAGTTACCTATTTTATTGCTAAGTGAACATGGAGACATGTCCTAATGTTTTCCAGCCATACCGGGGATCGATCCCCGACCTCACTGTGTGAGCTGAGTGCACTAGTGATCGAGCTATGGGACACATTGATTATTTTTATACATGGGGAAGACTGAAACGCAGTAGTGGGTGCTTCAGTGAAGAGTGCCTTGTTGAAGGGCTTTTGTTGGAAAAATAAACACAAATGGAGTATAATGCCATTCTTTGTTGACAACGTTTTGCCCACACAGTGGGCATTATCAAGTCACAAAGAGATCTTCCTGGGTGAATGGTACATGAGTCTTTATAGTGTGGAGAGTCAGGTGGAGAATGCTGGGTAGGTTGGATCTGAGATGGACTCTTTTACAGGTCTGTGTGTTTTTACCCAGTTCTTTCTTTCAACACACTGGCTGTATCCCACCCAGGTGGGGTGGCCCAAAAAGAAAAACGAAAGTATTTTACCCAGTTATGTTTGTATAATTTACAGTGAATAATTCATTTATGTTTAGAATTGTCTGTGAATACTGATGTGTTTCAGTGAAAGGTAAAATCTCTTGTACTGTCCAAATTTTCTAATGAAAGATCAAATCTGTTATGAGATGTAAACCACAGCACCGTGTCTTCCCTTGTGGATGACACCCGAATTTGCATGACGGTGTCATCCATTGAAGACACTGAAAGACTCCAAGCAGTCATCACCCAAATCTTTAAAAACAACATGAAGTTCAATGAAGAGAAATTTAAATTACTCCGATATGGAAAATCAAGGAAATTAAAACCGTATCAGAGTATAAAACAAATTCCAACCATACAATAGAGCAAAAACCTAATGTGAAGGACCTGGGAGTGATAATGTCAGGGGTATCTCACTTTCAAAGATTACAACAGTGTATCTACTACATCTAGGAAAATGATAGGATGGATAATGAGAGCATTCAAGACTAGAGATGCCAAGCCCATGATGGTTTTCTTCAAATCACTTGTTCTCTCTAGGCTGGAATATTGCTGTACACTAACAGCCCCTTGCAAGGCAGGCAGAATTGCAGGCCTGGAAAATGTACAGAGAACTTTCACGGCATACGTAAGCACGATAAAAAACCTAAACTACTGAGAACTGCTGAAGTCCCTTGATTTGTATTCCCTGGAATGCAGGCGAGAGAGATACACGATAATATACACTTGAAAAATCCTAGAGGGACTGGTCCCAAATTTGCACACAAAAAGAATTCCCTACAAAAGCAAGAGACTTGCCAGGAGATGCAACATCCCCCTAATGAAAAGCAGGGGTGCCACATGTACAGTAAGAAACAACACAGTAAGTGTCATGGGCCCAAGACTGTTCAGCTGCCTCCCAGCCTACATAAGGGGGATTACCAATAGACCCCTGACTGTCTTCAAGAAGGCACTGGACAGGCATCTAAAGTCAGTACCTGACCAGCTAGGCTGTAGTTCATACATTGGTTTGCATGCAGCCAGCAGTAACAGCCTGATTTACCAGGTCTTGATCCACCATGAGGCCTGGTCACAGACCAGGCTGCAGGGGGCATTGACCCCCAAAACCTTCTCCAGGTATACCCACTCCAGGTATCCCCAGATGTTCTAATGGAAGCTAAAATCTGTTCTCATCCCCAGATGTTCTAATGGAAGCTAGAATCTGTTCTCTTCTCCAGATGTTCTAATGGAAGCTAAAATCTGTTCTCATCCCCAGATGTTCTAATGGAAGCTAAAATCTGTTCTCTTCCCCAGATGTTCTAATGGAAGCTAAAATCTGTTCTCATCCCCAGATGTTCTAATGGAAGCTAAAATCTGTTCTCATCCCCAGATGTTCTAATGGAAGCTAAAATCTGTTCTCATCCTCAGATGTTCTAATGGAAGCTAAAATCTGTTCTCTTCCCCAGATGTTCTAATGGAAACTAAAATCTGTTCTCATCCCAGATGTTCCAATGAAAGCTAAATCTGTTCTCTTCCCCAGATGTTTCTGACTGGTTGGAGTTGTACGGTATAGAGCTCAGCAGAGTGCTGGGATCAGAATACCATGAGAACACACTGGTGGTCCCCCATCCTGTGGTGGCTGTGGACGAGATGGGAGCATCAGAAGTGGTCAGTGGCCTTTGGTGTCAGTACAGAGCTGGCGTCAGGCATTTGCATGACCTCAGCTTCTTCTCTCAGTCACATATCCAGCATCGTATGGGTATGTGGAATGGCGTGCCAATTTCCCGTCAGGCTTCGATATTCGGGCCGGGAGTCTTGGTGTCGGATATTGAGGGTCGGGTTCTGGTTACTGGAGTCGGAGAAGATGACTTTTCGGGTGTGATTGGTGATGTTATACGAACAGTTCTGAACAATTCGATCATTTTAGATGTTAGTGCTACCCACAGCGGCCTTGACACATTCTATTTTATCAAGAGTAATCGCGTCAGAGCCATCGAAGATATAAACCATTTGCGACGTCTCTCAGGGATCTTCAACGTAACTACTAGCGATACTGAACACGGCCAGGAGATCCGTATGTCCACACCCACTGCCCACCTAGTGATCATGTACGGGGAGCGTGTACAGAGGGCACGCAGCCGTGTACTAGGAGAACTAGAAGAGAAAGCAGAAGAGCTAGCATGGGCACGGGAAGCAGCATTGGTTAGTGTTGGTCGACCAGGCACTCATGTTTGGTCACCAGTAGAAGCAGCCGAACTGGTAAGAGAAGGCCGTGTTCCTGGTTACGTTGCTACCCATCTTCACTCCACCTCCCGGTACCCTCTCCTAGCTGCCGATGCCTCAAATATTGTCTTCAAACACGAGAGCTCCCGCAAGCGGCGCAAGAGCCGCAGAAAGGGACGCAAGAAGAGCTGGCGACAGCGCAAGAAAGTCGCTGTTTGAAAGCATACGCTCACTCAAGTTTTTGCAGCGAATGCTGTAACCGGTGAACTTCCAGACATACGCTACTGAATCTGCCTTGACCGACAGATTGTGATATAATTGTACATATTTATGTAAAACTTAACAGAGTTTCCATATATATATATATATAAATATATACGCACACTGATGCGTTTTCGTTCTTTCTATACGAGGTGATTTAAGGATATATCTTTCATGATTATCATATATTCAGTGTTCTTAAGAAACCCAACTGAAACCATATATCAATTATGAAAACTTTTAGGTGTTTCTTTAATGTGGTTTTTACTTACGACTGTATCCTGAGCTAATTCTATCATGTACAATATGTCATGTCTTATGTAAATTATATTACTGAGTTTTTAATAAATATTTCCATGTACATTTATTAAAGGAATTTTAATTATCCATGTGTGTGTAGGTTTGTACTCATCTGTATGTGGTTGCAGGGGTTGAGTCACAGCTCCTGGCCCCATCTCTTCACTGGTGACTATTAAACTTGTGTCTCTTGTAAGTTCTTCCTTCCTCTGTCTTGTTACTTCTTGTTTTATTGTCTTAAGAACAAAAGAATGGAGGAACACTGCAGAAGACCTACTGGCCCATACAAGGCAGGCCCTTATCAAAACCACCACTACCCAAAGCTACCCAAGAATTTGCTTCAGTACCTCAGATACTAATCAGACCTTGCCCTTCTCACTCGTATATTTGTCCAATCTCTTTTTAAAGTTATCCAAGGTCTTAGCCTCTATTACCTTAGTCAGAAGACTGTTCCATACATTGAAAACTCTGTGTAACAGCTTTACTGTAGATGTTTTGTCATCCAATGGTTCTATCAATACAAATTCAAAGACATAAATGGAAGACAGTAGAACTATGTACAAAAGATGAGGTAATCAGTCCCTCAGTCTTGGAGTTGGTTAAGATCACTGTAGTCTTGAAGACTCTGGAGCACAGGCAGAAGGGCTAGTGCTTATATACTAGCATCAGGTGGTTCAGAGGACATCACAATCCACCTACCAGTGACTGTCCTCCGTCTGCTACCCGTCCCTTACCACCTGACGCCAGTATATAAGTGCCAGCCTTCTTGCCTGTGCTTCAGAGTCTTCACGACTACGGTGATCTTAACCAACTCCAAGACTGAGGGACTTATTACCTCATCTTTTGTATATAATTCTATTATCTTCCAATTATGTCCTGGAGTTTGTATTGATAAAACCACTGAATGGCAAAACGTCTACAATAAAGATATCCAGATGTTGCACACTTGTGATTTTCATCTTGTCGTTATTACATACCATTCATGTACATTTACAACTTTGTTTGAAAACCAGTACTTACCTATGTCTTTTCTAAATCTAAATTTATCTAACTTAAATCCATTATCTCTGGTTCTGTCTTTAGATGTGACTGTAAAGTAGTTAGGGTTTGTGGCTACGAGTATGTTATATTTTATCTGGCATGTGTCACACTCTCGTATAGGCTGCCTCCTGATCGGCGAACCAGGTGCTAAGTGTTTAACGATCAACATCAGCCAATCACAGACAAGCCCACCAGAGCTGTGAAGCATGTGATTGGTCCACTTGTGACACAAGGTTTGGCAGACTAGCCTTGGCTGCTGGATGATCCCGGTATCTTGTGTAGCTCCTTGTTTTCTGCCTTCTTTGATCACTGTGTTGTACACTTGCTCTTACATTACTGTACATATTATAAATAGTGTAGATATTGCAAATACCAGCTAGCTTATTTGGTGGTATAAACCTTGGTAATAGATACCGACAAGTTGGTGTAGAAAAACACACAAGCAAACACTAGGACATATTTATGAGAAAACATATTGGTCCTGGGACCTTGATCACTTCTAACATACAAGAGGTTGAAAAGACAGTATATACTACAGGTGGAGAGTGAGGTGTGAATGACACATGGTAACCTGAAGAATGACATATTGGGATGAAGAATGACATATTGGGATGAAGACGGGTAGACAATGTGATCATGTGACTTGTGTTAGGTAGGTGGTGTTTTGCCTGGTTGAGTATCACATATGCTAATGTTTTAGAAATTTTGTAGTTCCCAGTATTACGTTCTATTGTGTCAGGGACGGCAATTAGCAAGTCTTATTTGGTGAAGGAAATACGAGTTATATAACTCCTGTTATATGACTGCATCCCCAACTGAACTAATGTTACTCCTTGTTGTACTGCTTCCTTCTTCTGATTATCAAGTTTCCTGCCTTCTGGTTCTAGCTGACAGGTGTACGTTATCATCTCATTTTTTTTTTCTAGTTCTCTTATGACTCACGAAATCGTAATGTCACGATTGCAAACAAACCATACCACAGGTGGGGTTACAACCCACGATCAGAGAGCTTTAAGACTTTCTGATCGCTGGTTCTAACCCCACCCGTGGTATGGTTACTTCCCTTATGTTCCTTTACGCTGAACTCTTCTCCAGGCTGAGGGACACATCACTTTATATCTCCAGTTTTGAAAGGAGTAATTACACCGTCTTCATTTCACTACTATACCTGCTGTATTTGACTGAAGTCTACTGTGTAGGCAAAATATTTTATCAATAAAGATACCCAACTGTTGTACATGTGTGTTAATCTTCAGCTTGTTCCCTTCCTCCTCTACTGCATTCATGAACTCTCTCATCTACAGTTTGTTCATCTGCTATTCTTCCGTCAGTGTTTCTGGCAGCATCAAACGTTTTAAGTCAAGGTAATGTTGCAGCGTCAACCACTGTAAGTCAAGGTAATGTAGCAGCATCAAGCACTGTAAGTCAAGGTAATGTAGCAGCATCAAGCACTGTAAGTCAAGGTAATGTAGCAGCATCAAGCACTGTAAGTCAAGGTAATGTAGCAGCATCAAGCACTGTAAGTCAAGGTAATGTAGCAGCATCAAGCACTGTAAGTCAAGGTAATGTAGCAGCATCAAGCACTAAGTCAAGGTAATGTAGCAGCATCAAGCACTGTAAGTCAAGGTAATGTAGCAGCATCAAGCACTGTAAGTCAAGGTAATGTAGCAGCATCAAGCACTGTAAGTCAAGGTAATGAAGCAGCATCAAGCACTGTAAGTCAAGGTAATATAGCAGCATCAAGCACTGTAAGTCAAGGTAATATAGCAGCATCAAGCACTGTAAGTCATAGTAATATAGCAGCATCAAGCACTGTAAGTCATAGTAATATAGCAGCATTAACCAAACTTAGTGTGTATTTTGTTGGTAGTGTCCAGAGTTTTCACATATTGTGTTGCTATGTTAGATAACATGAATCACATAAGTAGTGGTACTTAAACCAGTGGCTGGTGTGTACTAAATCTCACACCAGTAAGTATTAGATCCAGTCTTGCTGACTTATCTTCTGTGAGAGAGAGAGAGATGGAGATGTAATATTGTGTTATTGATATGTTAAATAATGTGAAAAACAGAACTAGTGGCACTTAAACCAGTAGCTTGGGTGTACTAAATCTCTCCCACCAGTATTACATCCATTCTTGCTGACTTATCTTCTGTGTGTGTATATACTCGCCTAATTGTGGTTGCAGGAGTCGATTCATAGCTCCTGGCCTCTGTGTCTGTGTGATGTAGTGAAAGTACCACAGGTACACTACAACAATGACATTGTAACAGTTGTTCCTTCTCACTCATAAGCTTTAGTCTGTAAAGTTTGCCAAATACAGTGGTACCCCGAGTTTCGAACTGCTCCCAACTCGACCAGTTATGTAAGTGTATTTTGGAGGTCTGAAATGGACTAATCTAATTTATATTATTCCTTATGGCAGTGGTTCCCAAACTTTTTCAGCTTGTTACCCAATTTAACATGCCACATAAAGCATGTTACCCCTTTCACAAAATGTTGTTATTATTGATATATATGGTTAAACGTGAATGTATACAGCCTCGCATACTCTGCTAATCCTAGCAAAACCATTGAAAACGTAAGAACCACACATACATTATATATAAAATTAATAATAGCTACACATTCACAGTAACAGTGGGTAAATACTAACTATATACTGCACAGGGCAGTACACATACATACCAGCTTATGTCTACCTCGGCTGATGCTCACAGATAAACTGACAGTGTGAAATAGAGGCAGCCTCAGGAAGTGAGTGACGCGTACTGGACAGGTCGATCTGGGCTACTGAGTGACTTTTGTCCTGAAGCATACTTGTCAAAATACTTTTGGGTTTCCACACACTTAGCTATATATTTCTTCTTTTCTAATACTGTATATTAGTTTTTGATGTTTATTGTTATTTGGTTTAACTTTATTACTTACTTATAATAGGTTTACTTTACAACTTTATATACTAAGACAAAGTTAACAATAATCCTCATACCGGGTACCGCATTGTTTTCTTAATTTTCAGAATTCATAACTTTTTTTCTGTCACCCCTCCATTACCCCCCAAAAATGGTTAAATTACCCCCAGGGGGTAATTTACCCCCAGTTTGGTAACCACTGCCTTATGGGAACAAATTCGTTTGGTATCGGCACTCGAACAGCTGTCTGGAAAGAAGAAAGTTCGAAACTTGGGGTGTCACCATACTGAATACATTTTTAAGGTAAAAGTCACTGTGCTCTTTGCTGGATTGAAAAAATTTCTATAATATAGAGTTGTAGGCCTGGTGTTCACTGGTACTCGACCTGGGACAACTAGGCTTGTGTTCCAAGTGTTCATCTAGAAGAAATTAAAGAATGTTGAAGTAATAGCAGTTTTAATACTAGTAGTACCAGAAGTAATAGTTGTAGTAGCAGTAATAATAGTAGTAATAATAATACTAGTTAGTTAATTTAATATGTTTATTATAGACCCCATACCAATCCTGTGGTGGTAGTCAGAATAATAATACCTACTAGCAGTAGCAATAGTATTGTAGTTGTAGTGATAGTAGCAGTAGTAATTGTTGTAGTAATAGTAGCAGTAGTAATTGTTGTAGTAGTAATAGTAGCAGAAGTAATAGTAATAATAATAACAGTAATAATAACAGTAGTAATAATAACAGTAATAAAACAATAGTAATAATAACTAATAAAAACAGTAGCAATAATAACAGTAGTAATAACAGTAGTAATAACAACAGTAGTAATAATAACAGCAATAATAACAGTAGTGATAATTACGTATATAAGCGCAGATTACTATAAGTTACTGTATAATGGACGGGTTTATTATCTAATTTGATATTATGGAAAATTTTATAGGGGGTTACCTGTATGTACCTCAACATTACATGCATACAAGTAATCTCATTGGGATACAACAACCATATTGTTTACCGTAGTTACCCCGTGTAGATATGTGAGAAAACTTAGCCACCCCTGGTCACTGCAGGTGGCTCCTTCAACCTCACACTTACCCATATCTAACCGAGACCAGTATGAATTGGATAGCACCCGCAAATACGGCGCTACTAATTAATTGTGGACTGTATAGATTATATTAGTTTAACTGACTGAAAGGGGGGAGGGGTAGGTTACACTTGGATATATCCATCAAGGAAAAAAAACACCTGTATATAATACCACCACTTACCAGATATTCTCTGGTGGTCACTTGATGTAGCTGGATCACCCACAACCTATCCAATTACAACATACCTAACTGGCCAGTATCAGTCTGCTATAACTAGAAGGGTTCCTTAACTGTGGGTGATTGATACTCCTTATTTCCTCCATCCACCATCTCATTTCGATGTCCTGCTACACCAATACGGTTCTTATTCCAGCAGGACGAGGTATCCATTGGTTTGTCCCGGTTTAGAAGTCGTGACTCCATAAAAACTTCACTATCCTCGGGGCAGGAACCACGAGGTAAACACGTGCTCACTCACTCTGGGAATGACGGCTCCTATCACTTCAACGATTCCTTAACTTAGTGTTATTATCACTGATTACTTCACAGCCCACCATACGGTTTAACGTCTCATAACTAGTATACACGTTAGAGGTCGCTCTATTAAGATTTGAAACCAATGAGTGAGGATTAAATCACGGGTATTTTCCCCTGAACACACTCCATGGCATCCACCATTATTCACTAATTTTGCCACTTATTACAGTGGTCC